CCCCCCCCCCCCCCCCCCCATAATGTGCTGCTGTGAAACGCCTGAACTCTCAGATCACACTCAATATTTTTGTTAACCCAGTTACTCCAGCGTCCACTGAGGGGAAAACAAAAATCAGTGTTTCCCTGGTTCACTTTCTTTGGCAGGGCGCTCGTATCTTCCGTGATTTTTGTTAACGGCGCCGGGGGGTGGGGTGGGGGGAGACGGAGACACGTCTGTGTCGTGCGCTGTTTGTACCGACAGTTTTCGAGCGGGAGGGGTGGGGGGGTAGACGGCACAGCGTAAGGTAAACAAAGCGCTACCCCTGCTAGATTTTAGCTAGCACATCTGTATTATGCGCGCCGCTAGCTTAGCGCTACGTCGGTGCCGGCAGTTGTCGACAGGGGGTGGGGGGCAGTTTGGTAGGCAGGGCACTCGGTTCTGTTGACCGAGCGGGGCGCCCTGCTTGTATAACGGCAGGGGCGTGCCGCACTACAGCCGCACCTGTCCAGAACCCCTCCCTGCCTCCGATGTGTCCCACCAGTGCAGGAATGTGATAAAGCTCTGATTTTTCTTCGTAGAGATCTAGTATAGAGCTGTATGAACGTGTAAATGAAGCACAGATTGTTGTCAAGAGCTTTGAGAGTCTTGATAAGATAGAAAGGAGCTGTATAGGTACCATCCATTTACTGCCTCAGCACAGGTAGCTAATGTGTGAAGGCTGGCCTGTGCATCCCAAGTGAGCGTTAAAAATGAAATGAGAGGATTATTATTTTATTTCTATGGTCAGCTGACGGTGGTGGCCATCTCGAATTGGGCTGACTTCAAATGTTAATCAGTGCCATTGCTTTAAAAGCACTCGGTTATTATCTAATCAACGGGTTAGTGGCGTACTCTGGGCGCCGCACTCACGTGGTCCGTCTCGTGGAGAGTAGTTGAGGAAACAGAAGCCGAGCAGCATCAGGACGGCGGTTCTCCAGGTGACCTTCCGCAGCAGCTGCAGGCGGCTGACTCCTCTCCTCTGCATGGAGCTGAAAGCCAAAACCACCGACGTCCCCATGATGAAGACGAACCTGCCGGCAACAGCAGGACGGTGTTGGTTAAAGGTGTGGGACAGCGCAGGAGTCGGGTGGTTCCCCTCACACCTTCACCTACCACGGCATGACGAGGTCCGCCACAGTCAGACCTGAAACCATTCAGAGTTTTAGTAAAACTTTTCTTCTTATGATGAACGTGAGATTTAAAATGTGTATTTACGGTGTTTCAGTGAGGTCGGGTTTTCCTCTCAGGAACACGGGTTTAGTAAAGTTACTGTGAGAGCGTTAGAAAAGATTCTGACAAAATCAAAAAGTAGAAGGATTTTTAAGTTTTGTCAGAAAGATTCGCGTTAACCGACTGCACAGGAATAAATTAATTAATTAATTAAAACGGGGACAAAAATAAACGTGGATGATTTTTTTCCCCATAAGGTCTTCCAAGGGTTAAATAAGGGCTCTTATTTTGTTATGTCTTGACGTTTACTTCACCGTTCCAAGGTGCGTGCTGAAGGAACCAGTATCCTCCTCCGCCATAATTCACAAACACCATGACCGTGAGGGCAAACCTGCAAACACATTACAGCCATCAGTCTGACGCCAAACCATCAAACCAACGAGAACAAACCACGAAGGATGAAAAATAAAAACGCAGCTTCTTTTCCAACACGTCAGCTCAACTCCAACAGTGAACTTTAATTTTACGACTCGTTTTAAACAAAGCTGCAAAGAAACGATTAGAATTATAAAAGACAAAAACAATAAGACAAGTAGCAGAGAGCAGTAAAAAGCCCAAATAAAACCGAGGATAAATTTAACTGAATAACTTCTGAATTAAAGTTATGGATGATGTGCTTCGTTTTGTGTCCCGATCCAGAAGCTTAGTAATCATTTTAAACGTTATGAATCACTCAGGAAATGAACACTTGTCCTCTGCAGCTCCGCAGGCACATCTGCTGACTAAAGACTTCGACGCTAATGCATGAAACACTTTATACGTTAGCGCTCGGCCAAGGCTGCAGGAGACGGAGAGCTGCACTGAATCAGAGTCTGGACGGGAAGGTGTTCGCACCGCACGTCAGAAACCCGGCAGAGAGCCATGAGACGGCTGCAGCGACCGCCGGCGTAAAAAAACGGAAGAAAATGTTTGAATTGATGCTTTTATGTTGTGTTTAATTAAAGCAGGAAATAAAAGGGAGGGTTTTTAGGAGCCATGATGACATCAGGTCTCTGGGTCTGATAAGGTGAGCCGTGTCTGCCTCTGCCTGGATTCAGTTAAGAGGTGAGCCGAAGCTTTTAGCCCAAACCTGCTGATACGAGATTTTAATCGGCCGCTATCGTCTCACAAGGGTTATTAAAGTGGGGTAAAAAAAAAAAAACCCCTGCTGATGTTTCTGTGTCTCTCACAAACACACACACAAGCCATTATTTAAATTTTAACGAACGTATCCATTAGTTGCCACGGCAACGCAGACAAAGGTTACAACCCTTAGCTGGAGGAGACTCTAACGTCACAGCTTGTTGGTGTTTTTAATTCAAACAGCCGTTTGATTCGTCGCACTGAGACCGAAACCAAACTGCTGACGACTTAAAGCGTTATTGATTATTTTCATTAAATGACTTAATGAAGTTTATTCGCTGCTGAAGCACAAGACACTGAGAGCCGAGAGACTCGGCTGACATGCTGAAAAAGCTGAAACTCAGTTGCTGAAGCTAAAAAAGGAGCAGAACTGAAAATGACAAAAGGTAGCAAAACGCTAGGTAAAAGCTAAAAGAAGCAAAAGCCAAGCTAAAGGCTAAAAATGGAAAAGGTTTAACCAAATGTAGCAAAAAGCTAGTTAGAAGTAGCAAAAGACTAGAAAAGAAAAGGCAGTAAAAGTTTAAAGCAGAAAAAGTATTGCTAAAAGTGACGAGTAGTAAAAGGCTAGGTAAAAGCCAAAAGCTGAAAAAGGCTGGCTGAAAGTACCAAACGACTATTTTGAAGCTGAAAATAGAAAAAGGTTGACTGAACGCTAAAAAGAAAATTATAGCTAAGAGTTACAAATAGCTAACAGTTCAATTTTGTAAACAGTTGACCAAAAATAGCTAAAGATTAGCTAAAAGTAGCACAAAGCTAACCTAAATGCTCTAATGGACTAAAACATTAGCTAAAAGTAGGCAAGAATAGCAGAAGGGGAGCTAAAAGCAAAAAGAAGTATAAAAAAGTAGCTAAAAACTAATACAATTAATAAAAAAAAGGGTAAAAACATTTCATAACAGCATGTAAGAAAAAGCAAAATTGTAGCTAAAAGTTATTACTAAAAGGCTAGCTAAAAATAGCTAAAAGTAGCAAAAAAGCTACCTAAAATGGATTGAAAGTAGTAAAAATACTAGCTAAACACAGGTTTGAGTAGCAAAAGGCTAGCTAAACACCAA